AAGAATCCACCTGCCAATGCAGGGGACACGGGTTCGAGCCCTGGTCTGGGAAGATCCCATATGCCATGGAGCAACTAAGCCCGTGTGCCACAACTACTGAGCCTGTGCTCCAGAGCCCACACGCCACAACTACTGAAGCCCACGTGCCTAGAGCCTGTGCTCCACAACAACAGAAGCCACCGCAATGAGAAGCTCACGTACCACAACGAAGAGTAGCCCCCGCTCGCTGCAACTAGAGAAAGCCTGCACACAGCAATGAAGACCCAACACAGCCAAAAATAAATAAATAAATAAATAAATATTCTCTTTAAAAAAGGGGGAGGAAGAAGAAGTAGAAGAAGGATGAGGAAGAGGAGGAGGAATTCAAACATTCCAGGAAAATAAAAACTGAGAAAATGTATCACTTGCAGAGTTGCTGTACAAGAAATACTGAAGGAAAATTTTCAGGCTGAAAAAATGGGAAACTAGACAATAACTTGAGTCCACATAATGAAATACAGACAACCAGTAAATATATAAGACAATTAGGTAAATATAAAAGACAAATTAAATGCATTTTTGTAATTTTCTTTTTCACCTGTCTGATTTACAAGATTGCTAATAAGGCAATAATTATGAATCTGTGTCAATGGCCACAAAATGTATAAACATGTAATTAGCATTACAATAACAGCACAAAGGACAGGAGAAGACATGGGGCTATACAGGAGCAAAGTTTTTGTATACCATAGAAATTAAGTTGGTATTAGTTGATCTAGATTGTTACAAGTTAAGGTGCTAATTGTAATCCCCAAGCCAACTACTAAGAAAATAACTAAACTATATAGTGAAAGAAGAAAGAAGTGCATTAAAATGGTAGTGTAGAAAATATCTATTTCACATAATAGAAGGCATTGATAGAAGACCAGAGGAGCAAAAAGGATATAAGACATATAGGAAACAAACAGCAAAATGGCCACTGTGCTATTACACTTTGTGGATGGATTAAACACTCCAGTTAAAAGGCAGAGACTGTTACAGCCCAGACCTACTCTACTCCACCTCTTTGCATGACAGACATTTAACAGAATAAAGTCAACGTATACACACTACTGTGTATAAAATAGATAATCAACAAGGACCTATTGTATAGTACAGGGAACTCTACTCAATACTCTGTAATAACCTATATGGGAAAATGTTGGGAGCCAAGAAGTTTTCGCCATTAGAAGATGGCCGATACCCTGCTTCTCTTCCTGATTTATGAGATAGAAGTTCGCGCCTAAAATGAAAGCCCGCGCACGCAGCACCAATGATGATTAGCCAAGTACTTCCCTCATTTTGAATCCCGCCCCCCTTTCTCTGCAGTGTATAAATACAGCTACCGCAGCAATAAAAGTTTGAGGCTTGATCAGGATTCTGTCTTGCCTCCATTCTTTCGCGTCTCCTGCCCTTCCCCCTTTTTTCAACCCCCACAGGTTCCTCCTCGGACTCACAAGGATTTGTCCTGCTGGTCGGGACTCCCGGGGACGCCCGGGGCCGTACACAGAAAAAGAATCTGAAAAAGAATAGATGTACATATATGTATAACTGAATCACTTTGCTGTATACCTGAAACTAACACAACACTGTAAATCAACTATACTCCAATATAAAATGAAAATTTTTAAAAAGGGCAGAGACTGTGAGAATGGATTAAAAAACCACGATCCAACCATATGCTGTCTACAAAAGACAATTTAGATTCAAAACCACTCACAGACCTAGATTAGGCTGAACTAAAAGGATTGAAAAAGTATGCCATGGGAACAGTAACCAAAAGAGAGCTAGAGGGGCTACACTAATATCAAACAAAATAGACAAAGACAAAAACTGTTACTATGGACAAAATAGGACATTTTTAATGATAAAAGAGTTCAATCCATTAAGAAGAAATAACAATTATTAACATGCATGCACGTAACAACAGAGTCCTAAAAAGTTACAGAATTGAAGGGAGAAACTGACAATTCAACAACAACAGTTGGAGACCACAATACCTAACTTTCAATAATGGACAGAGAAACTAGACAGAAAATCAAGTAAATGGAAGGCTTGAAGAACACTGCAAACTAGACCTAAGAGACATCTGTAGGGCTTCCCTGGTGGCGCAGTGGTTGAGAGTCCACCTGCCGATGCAGGGGACATGGGTTCGTGCCCCGGTCCGGGAAGATCCCACATGCCGCAGAGCGGCTGGGCCCGCGAGCCATGACCGCTGAGCCTGCGTGTCCGGAGCCTGTGCTCCACAACGGGAGAGGCCACAACTGTGAGAGGCCCGCGTACCGCAAAAAAAAAAAAAAAAGACCCTACAAGAGACATCTGTAGAACATTCCTCCCGACGACAGAAGGATATTTGTTCCTCTCAAGTGCACATGGAACATTCTCCAGGAACGACCGTCTTAAAGACCATGGTAAAATAAGTCTCGATAGATTCAAAAGGATTTGAATCATGTAAAGTTGTTCTCTGACCAACATGGAATAAAATTAGAAATAAATAACAAAAAGAAATTTGGGAAATCCACAGATATGTGGGCATTAAACAACACACTCCTAAATAGTCAGTGGGCCAAAGAAGAAACAGCAAAGCAAACTGTAAAATACCTTGCGATGATTGACAATAAAAACACAATATCCCAGAACTTGTGGGATGCAGTGATAGCAGTGCTTATAGCAAAATTTATAGCTGTAAGTGCCTACGTTAAGAAACAAGAAAGATCTCAAGTTCATAACCTAACTTTACACATTAAGGAAAAAGAAAATGAAGAACAAATTAAATTACGGCAAGCAGAAGAAACAATGATAAAAATGAAAGAGTAAATAAATGAAATAAAGAGTGGAATAAGAGAAAAATCAATGAAACCAAAATTGGTTCTTTGAAAATAGTAACAAAATTGACAAACCTCTAACTAGAATAACCAAATAAAAAGAGAGAAGACTCAAATTACTAATGTCAGGAGTGAAAGAGGGGACATTACCAGCAACCTTCAGAAATAATTATGATTATATGAGCAATTATATGCTAACTGATTAGATAACCTAGATGAAATGGAGAAATTCTTTGAAAGATATAAATCCTGAGAGATTCCTAGAAAGACTCAAGAAGAAAGGAAAAATTTGAATAGGTCTCTAACATGTAAAGAGATTGAATTAATAATAAAACATTTTCCATGAAGAAAAGCCCAGGACCAGAAGACTTCATTGGCAAATTCTACCAAATGTCTAAAGAAGAATTAATACGAATCCTTCACAACCTATTCCAAAAATTAGAAGAGGATTCATCCTAGGAGACCAGCATCACCCTGACGCCAAAACCCGACAAAGCCATCACAGGAAAACTACAGACCAATATCTTATATGATATAGAGGCAAAAAGTTTCCACAAAATACTAGAAAACCACATCTAGTAGCACATTAAAAGGATTCTACACCACAAACTAGTGGGATTTATTCCAGGGATGCAAGGTTGATTCCACATAGAAAAATCAATCATTGTAATACACCATATTAATAGAATAAAAATTAAAACCACATGATCATTTCAATATATGCAGAAAAGTTGCTTGACGAAATCCACCGTCCCTTCATAATATACACATTCAACAAACTAGGGATGGAAGGGAACCTTTTCAACCTGGTAAACCAAAAACATAGCAGCAACAACAAAAATAGGTAAAACGGACTTTATCAAAACTAAAAACTTACAAATTCAGGTGAATATTAGAGAGTATCAAGGGGAAATGTAAGCCGCCCCGCGGCACGTGGGATCCTCCCGGACTGGGGCACGAGCCCGCGTCCCCTGCATTGGCAGGCGGACTCCCAACCACTGCGCCACCAGGGAAGCCCTAAAATATTTATTTTAAAATCAGTTAATGGGGATTATATGGGTGTTCCTCTCTTAATCTGTTAACAAATTTATTATATACCATCTAATGTGGAAACATGATTTTCTGCCTTAAATCACTAGGTACTGAATACATTGTTGGATTCGACCTGTTAATAAATTATTGGGATATTTGTATGTTTATTCCAAGTGATGGCTCTGCTTTTTTTTGTCTCCTGCATCATCCCATCCAGCTTTGTTAGAGGACAGTCCAGACTCCGCATCTCTCTGTGCCCTGGAACAGACCGTATGAGCCAGGATCCATGACGGCGGTTTGCTGGTTCTCATCCATAGACTGAGAAGATCTGGCACTGGAACCGTTCTTTACTTTCTAGAGTTATTGTTCTTTCAAAGTTTTCTTTTTTAGCCAATATTGGTATTTAATAGTTTTCTAGAAATGTATCCACTTTACCTATATTTTCAAAGCTTTAATATTATACATAAATTGTTATTATATGTAACTATACCTATAGCAATATGTGCGTATATTATGTTAGACGTAAACTGTTCTTATGATTTAAAAATCCCCGTTTCTGTCGCTGTATACCCCCTTTCCATTTGTGATGCTCAGAAGTGGTTGCAGAACAAGCGTCCTCCGAGGGTGACCTCTTTGTCCAGCTCCTCTGTCCAGGGGAAATCTCTCTATCACAGTTTAGCACAGAAAAGAGCAGTGCATTTTTGGCATATGAAGTTTGATATCAATAGTCTTACTAGTAGCAATTACCTTTATGTTCCTGAAAGCTGGTCATGAGGGTCATGGGGCTGCATTTGTAAAAGAGGGCAGAATTTGATCTGCAAGCAACTAAATTAAGCTTTTATATCAATGTTTATTAGACTAAGAGACAGCAAGTTTCCGTTTCCTGTCCTTTGTGGAGTTTGGGTGTTGGCTGAAGATGCAAAGCTAACTGGCAGGTGCCTCTGCCGCATCCCTACCTAGTTTCCAGAAGTTTAAAGGAGCCGTGATGACGTGTGCAGGGCCCCCAGGTGTCATGAGGCCTGTGAGGCAGACACCTTAGGTCCCGGCCCTGTGTCACCGCCTGAGCCGCCCGGGTCCCCAGCCCACGCGCATCGGCCAGGAAAGACTCAGACAGGAGTGTGCACTGGTTTATGGCTTTATTGCTGAAGGAGGAACGCCCCCGAGCAGGAGACCCCAGGCGGGGCCCGGAGGGGCCTGGGTCCCAAGAGGGGTGACCTTGGTCCTGGTGCCTCCTGACCCTGCTGGTGGGGGAGGTGGGGGTGATGTCGTCTGTCCCCAGAGGGGCCAAGGCTCCCGGGCCCTGAAATGGACACGGGGCTCTCCTGTGATTCCTGGGGAACCTGCTGGACCCTCGCCAGCGCCCCCTCCCCGGGCTGGGCCTGGGAGTGCAGGACGGCCCCTCCTCGGGAGAGGGACCCCCCGCCTCCCCCCTCAGGTGGAGTGTCTGTCACCGGTGCCCGCTTCTGGGGCCTCCACCTTGGCCCTCGGCCCTGCCCAGAGGGAGCAGGGGGAGGTCAGCAGGCGAGTGAGGCCAGGACACAGGAAACGACCTCCCCAAAGGCCACCCCTCGAGAGTGGGCACGCAGCCAGCGGCTCTGCAGTCGTCAGGAGAGACCCCAGCTTCCAGCCATTCCCGCAGGGGGACCCCAGGGCCTGATGGGGGAGCCCGGGCCCCACCAAGACCCCCACCCTTTGCACGTGCCCAGGATGTGGGGCAGGGGGGTTACGTTACCTCCAGGGCGCCGGCAGGAGCTCACCTAGACGCGGCACTGCTCTGTGGGGGAGGGAGAGCCGTGCGGGAGGGTCAGGACGGGACTGGGCGCCCCAGGGACAGAGGGGCCTGGCAGGGGGTGGGGAGGCAGGGGCCCACCTCGGGGCGCTGCACCTCCACCCCCTTCCTCCCGGGAGCCCTGGGGAGAATGGGGCTCACCACGGGAGGAAGTCTTCCCCGGGGCTGGTGGCTTTCTGCCCAGGGAGCCGGGGCGGGGCCTGGGAGCTCACCTTCCAGCTGGGTCGGGCTGAAGGAGAGCCGGATGTGCATGGGCAGGGGCTTGATGGCTTTGTTGAATTTCTCCATGACCCCGTCGTCCACTTGCAGGGTCCTGGCTGTGGGGGAGGGGTCAGTCCCTGGGGGCACCCCTGCCCCCCCCAGAGCTCGGGGACGCCGAGGGCCCTGCCCCACCCACCTTCCCAGGGTGGTCTGCAGGGCGCAGCGCCCCCGCCCTCCGGGGCCCCTGCCCTCCCCGCTCGGCCCATTCCCCTCGTCGTCCTCCCGGTGCACTGCAGTGGGGGTCTGCACGGCAGCCCTCTCCGGACGTCTGGGTCTCCTCCTGCCCTCCCCGCCCCACCCCGGGGCTGGCTGACTTATGACCAGGAGCCTGCACTGCCTGATGCCCACGGCCACTTCCCTGGGAACACACAGTGGCACATGTCTGTGACAATAAAGATGTCACCTGACATTTGTTTTCAGGACGTTATAGTTGAAAGATGTCTCTGTGACTGAATTCTTATTTGGTGAAGTAATTGAAACTCCTGGGTAACAAAGGCTGTTGGATTCATAGTGACCCACCGGCTCCATTGCGATGGTCACACCAGTCACTGAGCTTGCAGTCCGCCTGCCCCTCAGCCCGCGGTCTGTCCCTCGTCCCCAACCACCCCCCGGCCCACAGGAGACCAGGCCACAGGATGCGACCCTCTCCCGATGACCCCTCACCCCTCCTCCTCTTCCTCAGGTGTCAGGCTCCCCCGTTCCCACGCGCTCTCCACAGTGAGGACCACACCGCGGGTCTCCCCGGGAAGCAGGGCTTGGGCGCATACCCAGGTACTGGCAGGTCAGGCTGCGCTCGGGGTCAGCCGTGTTTTCCATGCAGAAGAGCAGGTAGTTTGTGTAGTCGGAGTCCAACACGAAGATCTTATTCTCATTCAGGACTGGAAGGGAGACCAAGACAGGGCAGAAGTAAGTTCCAGCGGGGGCAGTGCTGGCCAGCTCCTCTGGTCACCACCCGGCAAGGACTGGGCCGGGAGTGCCTCCTGCACTCCCCGCACGCCAACGTGCCGCAGCCCCTTCCCCAAAGCCGTCCCCAGGCCCATCAACTGTGGCTGCGCCAGAGACGTTCCACCACCTCCTGGACTCAGGAACACGCAGCGCTCAATCCAAGATGCCCCCCGGGAGCCAGAGTGGTCAAGAAATGCACATATATACAATGGAATATTACTCAGCCATGAAAAGGAACGAAACTGAGCTACTTGTAATGAGGTGGATGGACCTAGAGTCTGTCATACAGAGTGAAGTAAGTCAGAAGGAGAAAGACAGATACCATCTGCTAACACATTTATATGGAATTTAAGAAAAAAAAATGTCATGAAGAACCTAGGGGTAAGACAGGAATAAAGACACAGACCTACTAGAGAATGGGCTTGAGGATATGGGGAGGGGGAAGGGTGAGCTGTGACAAAGTGAGAGAGTGGCATGGACATACATACACTACCAAACGTAAGGTAGATAGCTAGTGGGAAGCAGCCGCATAGCACAGGGAGATCAGCTCGGTGCTTTGTGACCGTCTGGAAGGGTGGGATAGGGAGGGTGGGAGGGAGGAAGACGCAAGAGGGAAGAGATATGGGGATATATGTATATGCATAACTGATTCACTTTGTTATAAAGCAGAAACTAACACACCATTGTAAAGCAATTATACTCCAATAAAGATGTAAAAAAAATGAAAGAAAGAAATGGGGTTGTCACGCGGACCTCAGGTGAGACTGGGCACCGCCGAGCGAGGGAGGAGGGGAACGTCCCAAGAACGGTTACATTGCGGGGCAGCCCTGAGCCGTGGGAACTGGGGCGGCAGGAGTGAGGGTTGCCCTGACAGAGGCCAGCGGGCGGCAGCGGCTGCACCGCAGGGTCAGGTAGCTTCAGGGGCAACGCCAGCATCCTGAGCCAGTGCGGGCAGGTGGCTCTGGAGCCCCTGGGGCAGGCGCCCTGGCAGTGGTCAGTTCTTGTCTGGCACAGACAAGAGTGAGTGAGTGAGTGAGTCCCAAGGTGGCCCAGGCTCCCAGCAGGAGCGGCCCTGGTGGAAGCCCCCTGCCCCCCATGGCGCTTTCTCATCTTGGATTTAGTGAGGAATGAGTGAGCCAGTGGATGAGGGAAGGAACCCGTCTCGTGGAGATGGAGGAACCCATGTGGTGGGCTGGGGGCCGTGGGGCATCCTGACCGCTGACAGTGGCTCTGAGCTCCGCCTGGACGGGCACAGATGCTTCCTGAGCTCAGCCTGAGGGGCCCGAGCTCCCGGCAGAGAGAGCTTGGAGAGTCACCTTGGGGAGTGAGGCCAGCCTAGCAGGGGCCTGTCCACGGCCACTGGCCCCACAGCACCGGGCAAGGGGGCAGGGAGGGCAGTGAAGCTGGTGTAATGACAGCGTCACTCGTCACCCCAGCCCCTTAGCATCCTCGGGCCCGGTGCCAGCCCCCTGCACCTGCCCAGAGCCCCCCAGGGTGGTGGGGCTCCTACCACAGACCCGACACTTACAGTTGATCTTGAACACAGCAGGGATCTCGGTTTTTTCTGCAATGATTTTCTCCTTAACACACCCGTCCTTGTCCCTGAAAGGCAGGCGTTTCCTGAGCCACGTGCACAGGCCATGCACTGTTGATCAGGCCAAACTGTGGGCCAGGGCGGAAGCTGGCCCCAGGAGGGGCCCGAGCCGGTGGGGGGCATTGGAGCCCAGCTGGTCACCCAGGCCTTGGCTGCGCTCACAGTAACCTCTAGGGCCACGGGTGACCAGGTTGGACAGGCCACAAGAGGTCAGACGGAGTGAGGGAGAAAAGGGCCGGGAGCGGCCAGGCCCCGCGGTCCGGGGCAATGACCTGCACCTGCAGATAATCCTGGGGTTCAGGTCCCCATCTCTGCACCCCACCCCAGCTCCGAGGGCAGATGGGGCTCTCCCCCCTCTGCTTTGTCTCTGTGACATCCCGTTCATCTGAGATATCGAAGTGTTCAGACCAGAAAAGATGCAAAACGTCTCCCCGTTGCTCAAGTACATTCGTAATCCTTAACCTAACACAGAATTAAAGTAACTGCCTGAATGCACATATCCTTACTACGTGTTTCCACTTCAGTGGATTTTATCTCCCTCTCCAAGTCAACTAAAATGATGTTTTATGTTCATTTATTTTATTATGTTCCGAAGCATCAAATTAATAAAAGTTAAAAAAAAAAAAGCCCTGGGTGGGGCTCCGAGGGCCCCATTTCCCGTCCCTGGGGCCCTGGTCCTGCCCAGACTGCAGCCGGGTCCCACCAGGAGCCCTGACTGCCGCCCGCCCCCTGCTGGCCTGCAGCCCCGGCGGGGTGTGGGGACCACGCGCACCTTTTCTGCAGGAAGATCTCCAGGTCGCCCTGGGGCGTGGGCCTCAGCTCCTCCACGTTCACTCTTAGGGGGGCGCTCTCGGTGTCCAGCAAGGAGATGTCGCTGGCCGCCATGGCCACGGAGTGCCACGTCCCTGCCACCTGGGGAGCGGGCTTGATCGGCACTCCGGGGGCGGGAAGGGGACCCCGTCCCCACGGTGGGCTCTCTGTCCCACCCCGACCTGAGGCAGCCCTGAGACACCCCCTCCTCGGCACCCTGAGGAATGTTCTCCCTAAACTCACTCTGAGCCCCAAGAAGGACCCGGAGGAGCCCATCACACAAGTGGGAATGTTTGGACCTTGGGGAGACGTGGCTGGAGGTGGGGAAAGGTTGGGGGGCAGAGAGACCCTATTAGGGGCTTAGCTGTGTCCCTTTAACCCCCAGAGCCTCAGAACATAACTCTTTGGAGACAGGGTTTTTAAAGAGATGACAAAGGTAAGATGAGGTCATTAGGGTGGGCCCTGATCCAGTGGGACTGATGACCTCATAAGGAGAGGAAATTGGACACAGGGATGACCAGGTAAAGACACAGGGAGAAGACAGCCGTCTACACGCCCAGGAAAGCGGCCTCAGGAGAAACCAGCCCTGCCGACACCCTGATCTCAGACTTCCAGCCTCCAGGATGCGAGACGATAACCGTGTTGTTTAAGCGGCCCTGTCGGGGGTATTTGTTAGGGCGGCCCTGGCAGGGTAATGCGCACCCCAGACATCACAGCCTCCTCTGTCTCCCCTTGGCCTCTGAGACCCCTGCCCGCCCTGCAGCGCACCACCCACCCAGCCCCCCTCGAACCCTTTGGATGTCCAGGTCCTCCATAGTCCGGATGACGCTGACAGCCTGGGCGCCACACGTGAGGGCCAGGCCCAGGGCGAGCAGGAGGCACATCATGGCTGCAGGCTTGGTGGCTCTTCTGGGCTCTGGAGGGAGACGAAGGCCGAGGCACTGGGCTCGGGGTCTTATATAGGAGGAGGGCCAGCGGCCAGCCTGTGCTGGGCTCCCCGCCACGCAGTTCCCCGAATCCCCTGTGACTCACCCTCAGGCCCTCGGGTGGCTTCCTCAGCTGGGACAATAGGAGGCCTTCTTCCCTCCGAGGCCAAGCAGGAAGGTCCCCTGCGTCCCCGGGACTGGACGTCTCCTGCTTGGCCCCAGAGAGGAAGGGTCTGGGGTGCGAGTCCAGGCTGGCCGCCAGCGTCAGGAACACTTCCTGGGTCGGGCTCATGGACAAGGACAGGTCAGAGCCAGCACTGAGGACAGCTGTGTCCTGGAGGGCGGGCCTGTGGGTCGGCCGGGGTCCGGAGAGCCCCATGCCAAGAAGGACCCAGGGACGTGAGCCAGGGGGTGGCCGTCTGCCCCGAACAAGGGGGTCCCGTCACCCGCACCCATCACCCCTCTCTTGTGGGCTGCCCTTCCTGGGGGCTCCACTAGCTCCCGGGGCCTCCCACCCGGTCCTGCTGAGCGAGGCCTCCCGAAACGCTATGGTCCTGCTGGGTTCCTCCTGCTTCTGGTACACTCTCCTGTCTCGGGCATCGGCTCCTCCAAACCCCACGGACGTGGCCTTGGGCGAAGGGTTCTCTGCGGTCACCCCACCCCCTGCAGGCTGGGGTGAGGGTGACGTGGGGCTCAGGTGGAGCTCCAAGGATGGGCCTGGCCTGTAGTGAGATCTCTGCAAGTGTCTGCTGCCCAGTTAGGGTAGCAATAAAGACAACAATGCTGACAGCAGCAGTCAGCCGAACCCCCAGAGCCACCCAGCGGGAAGGTGACCTGACCGTTGGGGGTGCAGCGGAGCAACACCGCGTGCTCCGTGTCTGTGAGCGTGATAGAAAGGTCCACAGTATCTGAATCTTCGATCCACCGAATCTTACGTTTTAAATCTCCCAGGGCACTTCCCTCCATACTGCTCAAGTCGCCTTCAGCACCTTGGGAGGGACGGGGCCCTGGCGCTGGGCGTGTACCTAAGTCTGGAGGGGCATCGAGCAGGACACAGAAGCATCTGTCTCGCTGAGTCCACCTTGACAACAGCACCCCCGGGGGCTGTGCAGGCCCTGTGTCCCGTGCCAGGGGGGCTGCAAAGGCCATCAATTGACATTCCAAGTGATTAACCTGCTCATCTCGGGGTGGCGGGGGCGTGGACTCTGGGGTGGGGGAAAGGGGCAAGGTGGGGATATCTCCCGATGGTGGGAGACTTGGAGGGTCGGCCCCTGTGCCCCCCCCCGACGTGTAGGATCTTTCCAGGTGGCCACTGTCATTGTCAGCGTCTTGGGAGGCTAAGGGGTCTCCTAGACTAGCTCTGGTTTGCTATCTGGCCTCTGGTTTCTTTCCTGTAGAGACCACTGGTTACTGCGCCAGGAAAGAGTCCGTGCACTGGAGAGACTGCAGGACCCCAGGCTGCCCTCAGACTCCCCTTTCCTAGGGTGGGGGCCGTGAAAGAAGGAGGAGGCTCGGGCAGCCCCAGTCCTCGCCCTGATCTGTTTTATCTCCTTTAATTCTTGCGACAATCCTCCAAGCTCAGGGTCCCCAGTTCCCTCTGTTACGACAAGCCACAGGCAGTTATGGAGTTGAATTCTGTCGCCCCAGAACACACGTTCACCCAGAACCTCAGGATGGGGCCTTATTTGGAAACAGGGTCTTTACAGGTGTAAGTAGTTCAGATGAGGCGTGCTGGAAGGGGGCTGATGTACTGTCTGGTGTCCTTGTAAGAGAAGACAAGGACACGGAGGGGACACAGGGAGAAGGCATTGAACGCGGAGGCAGAGATTGGAGCGCGGCTTCTACGAGACCAGGCTCCAAGGACTGATGCAACACCAGCAGCTGGAGAAGCGGGAAAGGGTCCTTCCTGGGAGTCTCTGGAGGGACCTCGGTCCTCCGACGCCCGAACTGTGGACTTCTGGCCTCAGACAGGACAGGGCACACTTCTGTAGTTAGAAGCCCCCCCGCTCAGGGGGTGGCCCCCTAGGACATCAGCATGGGCGGCTTGGACCCGGGGGGTCAGATGCGAGAGGCCATCCCCTTCAACACAGCTCCGCTCTCAGAACTGGGTCACGCAGGGCAGAGGGAGGTCAGCCAGAGAGAAACAAGCACCGTGTTTCTCGGTGAGCTTGGGAAATCGGGATCCCACCAACCGCGGGGCATCCGTGCTGCAGGTTCTCACGTGTTCCTGTGAATCGAGACCACAAAGCATGCCCTCCAGGGCACAACTATTCATAACTTCCAGGAACCTTCAGTTTCCATAGAATACCATCCAAAAAATAAAATTGGAAAAAAAAAAAAAAGAGAGAGAGAAAAGGAAAAAAAAGCACCCACTGGCCTTGGGCAGTTGGCATTGTCCATTGTGGGAGGGAGACTGAGATCTAAGGGCTCAGCTTCCCCCAGGTCACGCGTTGCCCCAGAAAGTGGGACCTGGGAGGAGACCTGGGCCCCCACCAGCTCTCAGTCACTCCCCCTCCCACCAAAACCCCTTGCTCTTTAGAACCATGTCAGGAAGTCGGGCCTGTAACTGCAGAAGCAGGAAATCACCTATCTCAGAATGAAATCGTGGGGCCGGGCAGGGTCAGTGGGCCTTCACACAGCTGAGGATGCCATGCTGCTCGGGGCCTCAACCTCAGCACCGGGAAGCCAGTCTGAGTTTTGCTGCTCACGACCGTGGTGGCCGGCACCAGGTGCCCCCCATGCATGTCCAATAAAATGGACAGCCTACAAGAAATGGACAAATTCCTTGAAATGTACAGTCTCCCAAGACTGAACCAGGAAGAAATAGAAAATAGGAACAGACCAATTACCAGTAATGAAATTAAATCAGTAATTTAAAAAACTCCCACAAACAGAAGTCCAGGACCAGATGGCTTCACAGGTGAATTCTACCAAACATTTAAAGAGTTAACACCTATCCCTCTCAAACTATTCCAAAAGATTGAAGAGGAGGAAACACTTCTGAACTCATTCCATGAGGCCAGCATCACCCTGATAACAAAACCAGGCAAAAACACTACCAAAAAAGAAAATTATAGGTCAATATCACCGATGGACGTAGACGTAAAAATCCTCAACAAAATATTAGCAAGGTGAATTCAACAGTACATTAAAAAGACCATACACCATGATCAAGTGGGATTTATCCCGGGGATGCAAATATATCTGCAAATCAATCAATGTGATACACCACATTAACTAAGTGAAGAATAAAAACCATATGATCATCTCAATAGATGCAGAAAAAGCTTTCAACAAAACTCAACATACTTTTATGCTAAAAACTCTCAACAAAGTGTGTATAGAGGGAACAAACCTCAACATAATAAAGGCCACATAGGACGAGCCCACAGCCAACATCATTCTCAATGATGAAAAGCTGAAAGCATTTCCTCTAAAATCAGAAACAAGATAAGGATGTCCACTGTCACCACCTTTATTCAACATAGTACTGGGAGTCCTAGCCACAGCCCTCAGATGAGAAAAAGAAATAAAAGAAATCCGAATGGGAAAGGAAGAAGTAAAACTGTCACTGTTTGCAGTTGACATGATACTATATAGAGAAAATCCTTAGGATGACACCAAAAAGCTAATAAATGAATTCAGTAAAGCGGCAGGATACAAAATTAATACACAGAAATCTGTTGCTTTTCTATACACTAACAATGAACTATCAGAAAGAGGAATTACAGAAACAGTCCCATTTACAATTGCATCAGAAAGAATAAAATGCCTAGGAATAAATCTAACCAAGGAGGTAAAAGACGTGTACTCAGAAAACTCTAAGACACTGATGAAAGAAATTGAAGATGACACAGAGAGAAAGATATACCATGCTCATGGATTGGAAGAATTAATATTGTTAAAAAGACCATACAACCCAAGGCAAGTTACAGATTTAATGCAATCCCTATCAAAATACTAATGGCATTTTTCACAGAACTAGAACAAATAATTCTAACAATTGTCTGGAGACACAAAAGACCCGAATAGCCAAACACAATCTTGAGAAAGAAGAACAGAACTGGAGGTATCATGCTCTATGACCTCAGACTATAGTACAAAGCTACGGTCATCAAAACAGTATGGTACTTGCACAAAAACAGACACAGGGGTAAATGGAACAGAACAGAGATCCCAGAAATAAACCCAACTAATATGGTCAATTAATCTACAACAAAAGAGGCAAGAATATATAATGGAGAAAAGACAGCCTCTTCAGTAAATGGTGTTAGAAAAACTGGACCACTACATGCAAAAGAATCAAACTGGACCACTTTGTAACACCGTGTACAAAAATAAACTCAAAATGGATTAAAAACTTAAATGTAAAACCTGAAACTAAAACTCCTAGAAGAAAACATAGGCAGTACAGTCCTCTTAAGGAAATTTGAGACGACTTGAAGAACTGATAAGAATTTAAAAAGAGGGAACAAAATGAGCAAAGCTAGAGATGGAAAAATATAATCAATATTTAAGAAACATGAAATTGGGCTTCCCTGGTGGTGCAGTGTTTGGGAGTCTGCCTGCTGATGCAGGGGACACGGGTTTGTGCCCCGGTCCAGGAAGATCCCACATGCCGCGGAGCGGCTGGGCCCGTGAGCCATGGCTGCTGAGCCTGCGCGTCCGGAGCCTGTGCTCTGCAATGGGAGAGGCCACAGTGGTGAGAGGCCCGCGTACCACCAAAAAAAAAAAAAAAA